CCCCAAAACCCCAAAACCCCAAAACCCCTCTCTCTAAAAATACATTGACTAAAAATAATTGGTTGATAAAATTATCGTTTAGCTTTTAAAATCTTTAAATTCAGTAATTAAAAATATGTATCCTTATATCGCAACTCTCAAGCACCCCACAATATTTTCCAAAGCCTTTTCCGCCAATCTTACTCAGCAGACTCCTGAAAATCCTTTGGAAAGAAGGAACTTAATACTCCAGTATCCACATGAACTATAGGTATTTTAAATTAATTCTATGGATTAGCATGATAACTGCAAATACCCGTACACGCTATTGTTCTCTCAGCCAATCTATGCAAAGATTTTAGCTATAAAAAGAATAAAGCCTAGTAAAAAGGATATTTCGAGAGGCTTTTAATTGTAGGATTATATATTCATGCTAACTGGTGATAAGCTAATGCATATTCTTAAGTATTCTAATGAATCTAAACAAATGGAAACTCTTAGCGAGCTTTAACTTGACTTTGGACGGGGACAATAGAAGTTTGAAGAGGTTGCTTACATTACATATGATGAGCTCACAAAAACGGTTGTAATTGTCTTCAAAGGACTCTATCAATTAATAGTTGAGTTAGAATAAGGAAACTCGAGTAGCGATAGCTAAGACTTGTCAATTAAAACTTACACTTTATGTGAATTAGATATTTAGAACTTCATAAAAATCAAGAAAATCGTGAGATCAAATCCACATAATAATTCTGAAAAGGAAGCTTATTTAGCAGTCCTCTATGATGGAGTAACAGCCGCTGACAGAGATGATGAAGTTGAGATTAATGAGAATGAGTATATACATTTAAGCATCTATCAAGTTAAGACTCAGTTTGAATTAGATCAACTAAACCAATACAAAATACTTACTTTGGTATATGATCTATAATTAGGGGCCAAATCAGAAGATCAACTTTTGAATTCCTCTTATTTTGTCAACTTTAGCTACTCAACAGCTTAAGACCAATTAATGTTGTTTTCTCAAAACGGAGTCTGGCTTTATAGTTTGGATTTTACAAAGTATACTAATAAAGGAGATAACTTTGTCAAATTTATTCCGCTTAATGATTTATCTGTATTTAGTCTTTGGTTATCAAAAGACTCCTTAATAGTCTATGGGTAAAATAGTACTATCAATTTAATTACTCTATATGGATAAAACAGAATACTTATAGATGAGCTATTACTTGTCAAAAATAATCTTAAACTTAGCTAATGCGAGTAAATAGTTAAACTGAATTCGGAAACACTTTTTATTACGTCATCATAATAAAATCACTAGATATTAAATGTTAACTAGCAAGGCAAAAAGATTGAGATTTTAAGTGAAATCGAGAATAATGGATCACTTGCGGAGACTAAATATTATTAGGATGGCTCTAAGTTAATGCTTTAGAAAGGATAAAATAAAAGTAAGATTTATTTACTAGATGATCATACAAGTATTGATTCAGTCACTTATATACCTTTGGAATATGATGATATACTTCTAGGCTTAAATTTATATGGTGATAGTCTTTTAATCAGTACATAATAGGGATCTAGTATTTTCAATATTAAAACTAATTCAATTAATTAAACAAAAAATGCGCATTTATCTGCTGATATTTTGATTGGAAAAAATATCGATAGCAACAAATATGCATCAATCTCCCACTAAGAGTTGAGATTGATTAATACAGAAGACAACTCATTCAAACTAGTTGAATTAGATAAATAGAGTTTTGTGATTAAAGGTGATATAACAGATGACTACTGCGCATTTTTCGATAACCAAAATCAACTTAATTTGTATCAAAGTAAATCTCTAAATAGCTTGGATAACGTAAAATTTGGTCAAGATAAGCAAATACATGATATCTCTTTGATTCATATTTCAAAAGATTTGAATCTCTTAGTTGTTTGCTATTGGAATGTATCTAAAATTTCAGTTTATAGATTACCGAATATTCGAGAGCCAATTTATGAGATTAACCTACTTGATTTCATTAATTTCTAATCATTCCAGATAGATAAAATTAAGATGCTTAAACTTAACTCTGACTTCTATCTCTTGGTCGCCTTAACTAATGGTTTCTTGTTATCATTCAATTTCTACCCATAACTTATCCTTAATCTTTAAACATATGGTCTAGATCCCAGAATGATGATTAGACTTAGCAATATAAAGAAGATAGGTGATTATATTCATAAAATTGTTTAACTTGATGAACATTCTGGTTTCATTTGTTCAGATAATTCTCAACTTATATTTTAAGATTTAAAAAGCAAAGTAAAGAGCTTGAGTTTCTAAAAAGTGAATTGCATAATTGATGAGAACTAATAGTACAATATTGAAGATTGCTTAGCTGCTGGGCCTAATAGAGTAGTTTTATATTGTGCAGGGAATATCATATTAGGATCTTATAAAAGCTCTAGCAATTCAGTAGATCATATCTCAGGTAAAAGGATTGACTTCGATTGTATGGTTTAAAAGTTTGATTACATCGATGATCTCAAGATTTTGATTGTAAATCAATTTGACTCTTTTTCTCTTGATGCATAGGAGTGTAAGACTTAGTTGATAAGTTTGAAAAATGACGACAATTAAACTATTGATAATATTAAATCTTAACCAAATGAATATCCCTCGACAATCTTCTATCATAAATTCAATAACAATGATAGAATAATATTCACAGGTCATTCAATAAGAGTTTCTGAGGATGACTAAGAATTCGCACCTAATAAGGGAATTTTATACGTACATCAATTAGTTGAAAGTAATCCTGAGTAAAATTAGGATTAATCTTTCAAAGCGTAAAAACTACACTAACTTGATTTTAATGGAGCAATAGTTGATATCTAGCTTATGCAGATAGAGGATGCAAGAAAATATTTAATTATTGCTGTCAATCAAAATTTCGGAATATATTCTCTTTAAACTGCAGAAGAGAGATAGAACTATTCATTAATTGAAGACGAAGTAACAACAGTTTCAAAACAAACTTATATCTACAGGATAAAAACAGTTGGCTGTAAAATTTTAGTAGCAGATATCATGAGATCTCTTTCTATTTATACTTTTAACCCAGAAATCTAAAGAGCTGCATGCATCTAAATATGCAGAGATCCTTTAAGATAGTGGTGCATGGATATGATTTAGATAAATGAAAATCATTATCTTATTTCTGATTATCACTACAATATCACAATCTTAAGTTAAAAATCAAAGGATTAGATTTCCTAACAAGGAGATGATTAGATATTTAATGTAATTTAAGTTTTATGTAATCATAATTTAGGTATTCGGTGGATTTTATATGGGTCAATAAGTAAATTCAATAAATCTAGAATTCCTCTCAAAGGAAAGAAAGAATGATGCTTAAAGACCTGAAGATGCCTTTTTATCTCATTAGTACCTTCAATCTTAATATTTACCCAAAAACTAATCATTCTTTGATTCCCAAGCTCACTTAGACTTCAATAATCAAATTTAAAATATGCAAGCATTTCTAGCGACTTCAGATGGTGGGCTTACCACAGCAATATTTTTGGAATATTAAGCTTATATAATTCTTAAATATTTGTAAGAATAGCTTGATGAAGTCAAAAACTCCAAATACAAAATAAGAAATTTCAGAAAAACCGATGTAACATAATATACAGTCTTAAGTTTTTTAGGTATAAAAGCAGCTTGAAGGAATTGAAAAAGATTAAGAGTTTTACGATTTTATAGATGGTGACTTCATTGAATAATTCCTCGAAATGCAAGAATCAGATCAAATTAATATTGTTGATCAAGTAATTCCAAGAATAAAATCTATCCACAATTCAGTGAAAAATTAGGTTACCACAAACTTCAGTAATATTACATTCAAAGACATTAGAATGCTTATCGAAACTCTTAAATCACTTCATCAATGAATTAACAAGAACATTATAGCATTTTATTTATCTAAATTTCAATTTTAACTTAGATTTGTTTGAGTGGGGTTTTGGGGTTTTGGGG